GAGAGTGAATCAGTTTTCTCTGCCCATGTTTTCTCTCCAAGTTAAAGAAAAAGCTGGAAGGCGCATCCATTTCTGTGATGTTTTGCATCCGGGACCTAACCAATACACCCTGGACTTTTGTGTCCAGCAGGCTCGTTAAAACTATCCTTTTAGATTTGAGGGCTTCAATGTGCTCTCGATTTCCTGTAGATTCACACAAGTGCTCTAACTCTACTATATTAATCTCCAGATCGCTGATAGATCTGGTGATGTCGCGTGTGACATTGAGCGTATGCTGTTGACACAGGAGTTTAATTTGAACTTTTCCGTGATCCCACCATTGTTGCAGACATGTAAAATCACCTTTTGTTTTTCTAAAACCCATCCAAAAGTAACTCAGGATCTCTTTAAAACTATGGTCATGAGTTAAAACTGAGTTAAAATGCCAGTAGGCACTCTTAGGTACAATGTTTCTGATAAAAACATTACTTAAAACAAACGAATGGTCTGTAAAAGCCACTGGTGAAATCTGGCAAATTTTAAACACATTAAAATGGTGTTCAGAACAGTAAAACCGGTCAAGACGAGCTAGAGAGACATGATTCTCTTTAATGTGGGACCACGTGTACTGCCTGTAGTCTGCGTGCATCCTCCTCCATWCATCCACCAGGCCATGAGATGAGACTAGCTGTCTCAGAGCTTGCTGGGCTGCTGCATGAGGCTCTTTATGATTATGGTCTAAAGTTCATTTTCTGTGCAATTAACAAATTGCACCGGTAACAAATATTAAATGAAATATTGATTGTTTAATACTTTTCTGATAATCTGCATAGTAAATTAGTTATAATTTTACAATAATGGTATAAAGTTGTAGATAAATGCAATTTTTTGGCCTTTATGGCTGTTTTTGTAAAGACCAAGTCATGCATGGCCTTAAAGTATTTATTAATATTTGTTGAGGGGCATTCTTAAATTTTGGTTCATGCCAGATTTTCTYATCACGATCTTTATTTTTAGAGAACTTCTGAAACGAGAAAATCACATGGAAATTTTGTACCAGCAAAGACCTTCATGATCACCTTTTATTTTGGTAGTCACCGGATGTTGACGGTGGCGTCACCGTWCGCGCATGGGCGCTAGCCTGCCAAACACGTGAAACAGACCGACGAGGCAGAAGTCATGTCTAAATCTAGTACGTAGTGAATGTTTAGAGTCAGTATGTGAACTCTGTATTTATCTGTGGAGGTTTTTAACGGAGTCGTCTTGTTGTTTGTGTTTTTTACAGAACAGAAACGGGCCAAACGACTCGGTTTTCTCGGAAAGTTTAAAGTAAGTGCTAGCTGGCTAACGTGTGTATCAGACTCACTCAGGATGTGGGTTTGTTTTTTATTTGGGTCTAGTTGTTTTTCCCTGACATTTAGTGTTCAACGTGGCTGTTTATTTTAACACTGTTTTCATGTTTGCGTTTTCTATTAGGTCTCTTAAACCCTTACAGACTAATAAGTATGACATCTTTATTAGTAACTCTGATGCAAATTCTTATGAAAGCCAACTTCTTGCTTAGATTTAACTTCTGACCTGTAATTAATGTGTTGTCCCTWCTGTTTTTACTTTTAGTGATTCACGAAGCTTCATATTAAACTTGGAAATCATAACTGATGCATCAGTGCACAGAAGCTTGATGTGTTTTCTTACTAAATTCCTTAAATGTTTTATTTAACAGAATAAAGATGGAGGAAAGRCTGATACTTCAGGGAAAACAAATGCAAAACAAACAGCTAAGGACTCCAGAAAACCAGAGGATGTCAGGAAGCAGAGGGTACATTTGCTTACATCCTTGGACATTAGATACAATCCTGTGGTGGTAGTGATGTCTTAAAGATAAAACGGTCTTTGAATAAACACTGTTTCTTTTCAGCTTCAAGACCTCCAGGAAAAGCAGAAGCGGTCTAGAGAGCGTGAGATGATGAAGAGGAGAAATCTGGATGTGTTTCAGAATGACATCCTTCGGCGCCAAAGAGAGTTTGAGCAGAAGGTAAAAATGTGCAGCTGCTGAATCCAGTTACGCTGTGTTCACACTGCAGGTCTTAATGCTCAGATCCACCTTTTGTATGTCTGTGTGTGGTTCACATTCTAATTTAAATGCAACCTTCATCAGACTCCAGTGTGAAGTGAAGAAGATGTGACGTCACACAGATATTAATATGGATGCTACATGTTAGCGGTTAGATCAACCAAATTATTATCTGCTATCCTTTTTTGTTCTATGTTTTCGTTTGATCTTTTCTGCTCAGGTGCAGAATAGGAATGTGCGATATGGCAAAAAATTCATATCACGATATACATTATGATGGGTGGCGGTAACAATATGTATCACGATATAAAACTTATAATAGAAAATAAATAAATCGCACATTAACTGAGTGGAATAAATATGTATAGGTAAAAAACNCTTCACCAGCCTAGTAGATCGGACCCCAAGCAGTGAACCCACCCCCAGGGCATCGGAAAGATCTGGTCCAGCCACCTCCAACAACTGCCCCACAGTCACCACCCCAGTCCTGCACAGTGCCTTTGACAGACCTGGCACGGTGCTACCACAGATATCTAGTCTTGCCCCACAGACTATTGGTTCCTGTAAAAGTCAATGCAGAGAGTTACCCATTTTTGATCTGTTTAATTTAAAAAGCCCACACAATTTAAAAACACTCTGATAAAAACTAGGCAACCCTTTTAACTTTAAAAGTCTAAAATTGGTTAGAAACAGAGCAGCATCCAGCCTCAGCCCATTCACACGTCTGAGGATGCAGCTAGCTACATCTCTCCACACAATGTCAGAAGGTCCTGCCAGATACTTCTGGAGGAACCGTATTCGAAATGCAGCTGTTTTACTGGCCAAGTGGATGAGGTCTTGGCCCCCCTCCTCTCTTGGTAAAAACAGAACGGACTGTGGCACCCAATGTAGCCCACTCCAGAAAAACTCCACCATTTCAGACTGTATTCTCATTAATAAGCCTGATGGTGGGTCTAAAACGGATAGTTTATGCCACAACTGTAAAGCAACTAAATTGTTTAAAACGAGCGCTCTGCCCCTGTAGGACATCTGAGAGTGCAACCATCTCCATTTTCCCAACTTACTCTTAACTTTCTGTTCAATGTTTTCCCAGTTCTTAAATATTGTATCCTTATTATGAACACCAAGATATTTAAAACCATCTCTCTTCCATGGGAGGTTTTGGGGGAGAACTGGGAGCTCCTCAGGCCACTCACCCATGGCGAAGGCTGTGCTCTTTCCTCAGTTAACCCTTGCAGCAGATAGGACAGAAAAGCGTTTAGTGACCTCATTTAGTGTGTTGACACCCTGTTGATTTTTCATAAAAACAACAATGTCATCAGCATAGGCAGATAAAACTATATTRCTGTTAAAACCAGGTAAAACCAAACCATATACACTTGAATGGATTTTTTGAAGGAGGGGTTCCAAAGAGAGTGCGTAGAGCATCCCCGAGAGCGCACAGCCCTGCCGAACACCTCTACGCACCCTAAAAGGAGCACACAGACAACCGTTGATCTTCAGCACACTCTCAATGTCACTGTACAGCACCTGGATCTTGGCTATAAAACCAGCGCCGAACCCAAAAGCCCTCATTGTTTCCCAAAGGAAGCCGTGTTCGACGCGGTCAAAAGCCTTTTCTTGGTCAAGTGAGACCAAAGCTGTATTTAAGCCTAATGAACTGGAGACTTCCAAAACATCTTGAATCAGGTAGATATTATCCACCATGGACCTGCTGGGGATGCAATAAGTCTGGTCCCGGTGGATGACCTGTTCCATTGCTCCACTCATCCTGGTTGCCAGGGCCTTGGAGAGGATTTTATAATCCGTACAAAGC